CTTCATCTGCATCGCTAATTGTCAAACATTCCGGAGTCTAAACTGGACGTTACTGTGGGGACTGTGTTCGCTCTCCAGCACTCTGGAGGGAAAGGGAGGTTAAACACATAGGTTTTAATGCTCAGGGAAAGTGCACGGACCAGGTATGTGATGGACAAGGTTTATCTATATACAGATCAAGGAGAGGAGAGGGCATGAGGGGGAAGGGAAAGAAAGAAAAGAAAAGAAATCAGAATTACATGCAATATATGTAACAATAAGGAGAAACAGGTACTGCAAACCAAGATGCTTTGCTAGTTTGGGCTATTTGATGTGCTAGTGAGAAATTAGTGGGGGCAATAAAAGGAGCCAAGCAGAGAGCACTTGAATAAGCAGCAGTGCTGGGGGTGTAAAGGGAATTTTGCCTCTTTAAGGACTAAGTTTCCCAGTGTCTGCCCATCTAGGTTGCAATTAACAGTAGCAGCACTATCACCAGGAACAATCTCACTGCTCCCATTAGCCACATGGGAGCTCCTCCTTGCTCAGGAGCATGTCCTTGGCCTCCCCCCATGGGTTTGCCCATGGATTGTATCTGCTCACTGCCCCAAAGCTTTTTTTCCCTCTGAACTGTCACTCCAAGAACATGCTCATGTCACTGCGTGAGCAGGAAGAGGAGGGAGAGCAATAAATTAGGTTAAACATATGAAAAGGTTTAGAAAAAGAAACTGTCGAGGATATGAACAAAATTGGACTGGAGAAGATGGCTAACATGGTAATTTATTCTGGCTGGATCAGTTCAAAAGGATGGGTCTGCTATTCATTAGAAAGCAAGAGAGAGTGGTTATGAACTGGAATCATGACATCAATTAGTTTCCCCATTAGCAGTGATTGGGGTAGCTGGCCAGCCCCGTGCAAATGAATACATGCAAGGAATTTCTTATGTCAATTTAGTATTACAGACTAATGTAATTGTTAACCTTGGTATTTCACATTCATTTTTAGAGCTTAATGAATCAACTGTCTAATTTGTCAATGTTGATTAAAAGATGAAAGAAATGGGAATATTTTCATGCAGCAAAGAAATTGCTTTTGAAAAAATAGAACTGATCCACTTTGTGTATGTAAAATCAGGCATGAAACTACTGAAGAAAGCAGAGTTTTTGAATCCGACGTGCTTCTGGTCCTGGTCCAGCTGCACAATCAATGAAATATGCTTAAAAATGTAAGAGTGAAGCACAAGTTGAAGTATTTTACTAAAAAAAGAGAAATTTAAACTTATGCTTCCAATCAACCCGACTGGAATCTTTGATTAGATCTCTCAGATCTTTGATTGAATCAGGATTTAAATCAATGCCAGGCAAAAACCAGAGATAAAACCAGTTGCAAAATAAAATGTGCTTTTTTTTTTTTTTGCATATACTCAAACTTTTCAAAAGCTCACAGCTGATGAAAAAAGATTTTGATTTTCAATTCTCACTGTAAAACCAAGATGCTTTCCATGATGGTTTTGCATGTGAGACAATCAACTTCCATTAAACACTTCTACCCCTCTGAGAAACCAGAGGAGGCAGAGGAAGGGTGGCCTGGGATGGAGCCTGCAAGTCCCTGTGTCCTTTCAAGCACCAAAAAAATCACAGCAGTTAAGAATTAGTTCCTTAACCCCAACGAGCCCCTGGGGAGCATTTGGCTGCATTTATGAAGAGGATTGAAAAAAATAAAGTGCTAACAATACAATGTGGAGAACATTTAGGCATGTTGCCAAAGGAGATGATACTCATCACGCACATTCTTTGGAGACTCCTGCATGGCTTTCAGATCAAAATCCATCAACCTTTTTTGTTATTTCTTTAGGAGAATTACCATTCTCTGGAGGTTTCTCTGTGAATCCCTCCTTGAATTTAAAGCATGGTTAACCTGGAAATGCAGCAATATAAAACCTCACCGGGTTCATAATTGTAAGGTTGCTTACCTGTCTGCGGAGCAGCCTTTCAGCAGAAGGAGAGTGCACCTGCTGGGAAACCTGGGGCTTGCTCTCCCCCACCAAATGGTCGTGAGCTCTTACATGGTGAAAATGGTCTTTTGGAATTTGCAGGAGAGAGCTGGTGTCTGCTGGCTGTGACTGCACAGATGCCTTTGAACCTTGTGAAGGAGAGAAGAGACAGAAATGTGACACCTTCTTCTGGGGGTTGTGTCCCAACCTCAATGACCTCCCAGAGAAAACTGCTCTGTTGCACTTTGGATCAGAGAGGCACAGCAAAACCACTGAATTCAGCAACTGGCTCTCCACAACTGGGAAAAAAACTCCTACCTACTCATAAATTACTCCAGAATTGTCTATTATTTCATTTTTCTTGGCATTTCCCCCTGATACAACTGGGACTAGCTCCTGTTAAGAACAGAAGATTAGGAACTAGAAGTTCATCTGAACTGGCAATTCCTACATCACTGCTTTAGCGCCAATAACTTTGCAGGCAACCTCTGAGTACTGCAAAAGGATTTGACTTTAAAAGGCTCTCTAAGATGCCTCCATACCTGAAGACCAACTGCTGGGATCTCCAAACCAGCGTGCACACTGGAAATGAAGTGAAAGGGAATGGCACCTGGCAGCTTTCAAGGCTGGTTTTACAAAGCCTCCCAGGAGAAGGAAACACATACTCTCCAGCCTTTTCCTGACCCTTTGCGGTTGCTGGCTACTTCTTCTAAAAGGTCTGAAACTCTGCATGCTCCCCCCACACACAGGCTCAACATTTTTCAAAACAATTCATTTAACCTGGACCACATCCCAGAGAATCTCATTTGTCCTGGAATCTTTCCCAGAACAACAGCCCCATTACGAAGGAGTATTCAAACAAATACCTCCTGCAAGTGCCAGTGTTTCTGACAACAAAACCTTCTCAGCTTGAAATATTATGGCTTGGTTGTGGTGATTTATTAGAGGCGCCTGGCACCTTTTGCTATCTTCACAGCACTTTATAATATTGCAAACTATAAACAGGTGGGGGTGACTTCCCCTACCCTGAAAAGCAGTGACATTGTAAACTGAACAGGACAATGATGCATACGTCAAAATTTGGGCACTTTACCCACCTCCCAGCACTTTGGCCTGCTTAAGACCATTGGAGTTTCACCAGCAGGAGAAAAACACAGAAGGTTTAATTGCTTAATGTGGTTATAAGACATAAGCTTTACCTTTCCAAAATACTTCTACATCTCAGTGGAACAGTTTTTCCTGTGGATTTACAAGGGTGCAATGCCTGCACCCTGCAAGCCAGGGCTGTTAGACAGGGCTATTCAGTTCTCCTAGTTGGAACTGGGAATTTAAGTCTTGAAAAAGAAGGGACTCAGGAATTATCCACTTTCTGGTGAAGCTGACGTAGTTTTTGTTCAAGACAGGACAAATATATCCCAATTAAGGGTCAAAAAAGAAGCACTGGAAACTCCCTCTGTAGCAAACTGAATTCTTTTGTATAGTCAGGGATTGTAACTCCAAGGAATTTCTTGACTGTTACAGAGAATCATAAATTCTGGCTCAGCTGAAGGTAATGGGAGATTTGCTATTGATTTCAGTGGGATTTGACCAGGATTTTAGCTGCATTGTTTGCATTATGTGCAAACAGGTTCTTCAAAGCACAGCTCTTGACCTTGAAAAATTATGTATTGTGGCAGAGATTTCTCACAACTCCAGATTCATCTTCCTCCCTTGTGCCCACATTTATTTTTTTTTTGCTGCTGTTCAACAGTCGCTATTCATCCAAATTCTTATTACTATGCAAATTTCAACATCTTATTTCTAATCTGCTCAAATCTCATACCATTCTGAACACTGCCGAAATTATGTTCTGCTTAGAGGCTTTCAAATGACAATGCTTGTAAAGACTTCTCTGTCTTATCTGTGACAAATGTCTAAAATGATGGCATGTACAGAGGAATTAAAGACGACTCCATTCACTTACCAGCCCCAGGTAACCCCTGGCAGCCTGAGGAAGTGGAGGGACAGTGCTAAGTACTGGGAGGCAACTGCAAGCACAGGGACAGAGGTGCAGGTAGAGAGAGCCTTCAGTACCTGCAACATGCTGTACCTAAGAATATCTCTGAATTTATCTCAGAGATGTATATCCCAGCCACGCACACTGGCAAGAACAATGCTACACTCTCTCATTTTTCCATTCACCTCACACTGAGATCTCTCTCAATTCAGCACATTTATGTTCATTTTACAGGCATTTAGAGACACCACTTTCCCATCTTTCACAGATGTTTCCAGACAGAGCTTCCAAGATCTGCCAGAACAGGCACTACTGCATAAAACAGCTAGGAAGAAATGTTTTTCTGCTGGGATTTCTACTCTGGGGCCATAGATTGCTCAAGTGGGATGTATGGAGTCCAGGCTGTAGGATCTATTACCTTAGGGAAGCAGGCAAGGGGACAACCAGCATTGAGCCAGATCACTGTCACATTGCTAAAAGGCTCTGAGGAAAGGAGTTATCTTTAACAGCCTAGAGTTTGTAAATTGTGGAGGGTCTTAGCAAGCTGTGGAGGGTCTTTTCAAAGCCATTCTACGCCAACACCTCCCTGGAAACTGATGACAATTTTCTGCCTCCTATACTGAAGAGCTTGGAAAATCTCAACTTTTGCTATCTTGGCAAAATCCTGCTCTTGCCCCACCTGCCAGATGTGTACCTGACTGGGACTTGTGATGTGGTGGCTTCCTCTCCCCCAGGGAGGCAGGGCAGGGGCTGGAGTACGGCGGCTGGAACATGTAGCTGTCATTTGGCAAGGAGTGGGTACGTCCCACCGAAGGTTTCCTCACACTCAGCAAGTCCTTGCTGGGAGACAAGGTCAGTGTGTCATCTTTAGAGCGGAGATCAGCCTATGGGGAAAACCACAGTGAGGAAAGAAGACACAACGGGGTGGGAAGAGGAGAAGTGCCCAGAAATTCTAGCGACAGCCATTGCAATCGGTATGGCACGATGGGACATGCACATCGTCAGGATGCACAGGGGGCACAAATGGATCTACCAGGAAGCTATTCCCCCTCCTTGGGTATTGTCAATAAACTGTCACACAATGAACTACAGAAACAGAGGAAGCAACACTGCAGGAATAAACCATGACTATTTCAGGGATATGCAAAGAAGGCATCATGCCTCAAGGCCAGCAAAGGTCACATGCTTGGCATAAAGTCTATCCTCTGCCCCCTATGTGCCCTCATCAGCAAGGCAGACTTTTGCAAAGGGGAGTAGTTTCCTCTTCTACCAATAAAAGAAGGAAAAACACACACAAAAATAAAAATCCCCCAAATACAAAAACTAGTTTACAAAAAATATTCTCTATTCTGGCTCCCAGCACAATTTTATTGGTTTTTCTTCTCACATAATGAATAACTAAACCCATTTTATTGAAAGGGATAGCTAAACCTAAAGCTTCAGGGTGAAAGTCATTCTCTAATTAGAAGGGATCTAATGCAAGGGAGGGTTATTGTATATGTGTTGACTGTGGAGTTTTTACAGCCAGAGACTCTTGGAATGGGCAGCCCCAGAGGCAATATTGAATGGATTCAGGGCTGATTTTATAAGGAAATATCTCCATCCCTGAAATGTTCTTGGGTGTTACTGTGTTGAACAGTATTAGCAAAAATGGAAGCAAAGTCATCTTCCCCATGTATTTCTAATGACAGAATTATTTCATCTTCCAAAGGTCTCCATTGAAAAACACAGGAATAAGATTGTGCCGCCGTAGGCTGATCACTTTTGGAAAACTCTAAATCTCATTTTCTGAAAAATCTTCCCTTCGCTCAGTGCATTTCAGGTTTTCTGAGATCAACACTGAGATTTTTTTTTTTCCTCTGATTTTGTCTTTCAGTCATAAAAATAAAATTCCACTATGGCATTTCATTTGCACAAGAAACATGATGAGATTCAAAGGAATTTACAAAAAAAAGAAGAAAGGAAAAAAAATATGAGGAAAAAAGAAGTAAAGGAAAAAAATAAAAAAGGAAGACCACTGTTGTAAATTTAATGAAGGAAACGGATCTGCACTGTCATGCAGCATTTGTTTCAGTTCTTGGGAACCTCCTGATTTGGATACAGCTTGGATACAGCCTAGATGAGAGAGGCTGCAGTTTCCTGATACAGCTCAGGGAAGGAAAGCAAAACCTGTGCTGGTAAAGCTGAGACTTGAGGTTTGGGAACCTCTTTGTTCCCTGCCTTCCCCTTCTAAACAGTTTAGGCTATTTAGCCATCATATTACTTAGCTTGAAGCAGAAAAGATGGCTTGAAACCTGAGACCTCAAATTCAAACCCATTTGGATCTGAACACAAGAGTTTGGATTCAAGATCCCATCCAAACCCAACCTTTAATGAACCTTTAGGTTCATTGACAGGATCCAATACCACAGTGGGCTCATTTCCACTTTCGGATCATCTCAGGGGAAATCTCATGAGTGAACTTCATAAAAACCATTTAAATGGCTGCAAAATTATCTACCCAGTCCAGCTCAAAAACCAAAGCTGTGAGAGCACATGACTTTTTGGTTCATTGGTAGTTTTGAAAAACATGTTGTTTTGGCTTGACTGAAAATCAAATCCAAGTTTTCCTTGAACCAAAAAAACACAAAACACCAAAAAAACCAAAAAAGCCCAAATCTATTTTGAGTCAAAGAAAACATTCAGAGATCTTTTTCAACTCAAGCCACATCTAAATGAAGTGTAAAAATGTTGCATTTCGAAAAGATTTCAATGAAAGCTTGCAGTTTTTCAGGAGTTTGGGCAACTGTCTTGACCCAAACACTTTGTTGGTATTGACACAAATTGACAAAATGCTTTGTTTAACCTGGTTTTGCTTTTTTGGGGGAGTGGGGGAAGAAAACCAATCTCTTGGCTATGCTCTTGAGACTTTCCAACGCAGTCAAACAGGTTTGTCTGATCTGATTCAAAACTAGAAGGGCTCTCTCCTCAGTCCAGCTCTCCAGACTAATTTGGACAGAAAAAAGTCTCATACAAGAAGTTAAACGTAGTTTACAAAATCTTTTGCACATGATGCCATGAAGCATGATGGGAAATATTGTCACGGTTTAAGAGATGTTTCCCAAATAAGTGCTAATTAGGATGACAGTCAACTAGAATGGCAGAAAATTTATGAACAACACAAACATCCAAAGGCAGGTACGTGAACAACAACAAAGAAAACAAGAACGATCCGAAAATGTTGGGAAAGGAGTTATGTCTGTTGTACAGCAGAAAAAAAAAAAGCACTTAACTGCTACACAGCTAAAATGTTTAATGTTTCAAAGAGGAGATGGTTAAGGCAGGGTTCAAAATACTGGTTATTTCAGTCAAAAAGACACAAAAGAGTCCAAATTTTTTTTTTTCCAAGTGGGATGACTGCTAGAAAGAATTCCCAAAACAAGCATCATCTCAGAGAGATCCCCATCTGATATTTGTAAAATAAACAGTCTGGCACCAATCATGCAAAAAAGCCTTGTGGTGCCTGTGTTCATAAAGACAAAAATCTATTACAAACCAAGGGGTTGGGGCTGACCCCTCAGCAGAGGACACGAGTCATTAGCTCATGGGTGTCTCTTCACGCAGCATCACTGATTTGTTTCAGATGGGGAGGAAATTTCAACCTTGATGCTTTCCAAAGCTTCTTTTGTTCCTATTTATTCTACTTGTATAAAACACATTGTTTAGACATAAGACACCAAAAGAAAAAATAGAAATAGCTACTTGTTCCTCGTAAGGAGCCAAGTTTGTGGACAAGAGCGATAAAACCCACGACCTAATGGCATTAAGGACAACGTCCTGTTCAGGGGAAAGGTTGGGGCTATTTGGGAGTGGGTTTGAATTAAAAATGCCATTAGGCAGGTGTAGAGGGGTGGGAGCAGTATTTCGAACCCTGTAAACATCAGACTATACAGCGACCAGTGTATGTACATTGCTTTCCAGAGCATTAAGTAAGTGTGTGTAAGTATCATCAGGAAAAGAGTCATCCGTCAGAGCTAAGGACCAGGACTTTTCAGAGAGAATATCTGACGTCAGAGACAGAGCCTCCATCTCAGCTAGAGGGATCTAAAGGGAGAGATGATTAAACATAAGAAACCAGGACACAAATCTTTTGGAAAAGAAAAAAGAAAAAAAAAAGAAAAAAAGAAAAAAAGAAAGTATCATAATCTAAATACTTCTAGACACTAAAGCAATATCCCTGCAGTGGGAGAAGCTACATCATGCACATTGTTACTGGGGACACAACATTAAAGAAATTAAACATAACAAAGAAATGAAAAAAAGAGTGGGACATTCATACTTAAGTGCTTACCAGTGATCTGGGACAGGGTTTAAAACCATACACTAATGCTAGCATTGTATTTTGCTGTTCTCCTGTCCACATGAAGAAGCAGAAGTACCATTACTTTCATACTAGAGAGATTTATCCTCTTGGCTGTGATCAAATACAAGAGACTTCAAGATCTTCTTATTTCTCTGAAGTTGTTCCCCCCCCAACAGACATGCTGATTTCTTGGCTTCTGAGCTAAACTTATTGAGTCTGAAAAGATTCCCCAACACCATAACCATTTTGCAGGTGTGGTATGGAACATGCTTCTCCCTGTGCCCCAGAGAGGGTGCAGGGACCTCCTGGTGCCTTCAGCAGGTTTTGGCTGGCTAAAGAGCCTCCAGTGCCTGGGTAAGCATCAATAAATGTCCTACTAAAACAACCAGCTGCATGTTTCAGCTCCCAGCCCTGGCCCCAGCCCATTCAGCACTGAGCAAACCTGAGCTGGGACAGGCACTGCTGCACTGATTCTGTCCCAATACATCTTGCACAAACACAACCCCACTGAAGGCATTCGAGCAATCGATACAAATCTTTATCAAAATATTGATGAAGCTCTCTCCCTAGACACAGAGGTATTTTGATAAGAAATGTGAAATGTCACTTCAGATTTTGGAGAAAAATAAAGGGGGGAAAAGGGAACTGCTGCATCTCCCCCGGAGCAGCATCTCTGCTGCCAGGCATTGCAAGGGAGATGTCTGCTCTGCAGTGGGCTCAGCCTGGCCCAAATTCCCTCCCTGGGTACATGTCTGAGCCTGGTGCTCATGGCACTGGGGATGGCATTTCATCAGGTAACCTACAGACCTGGCTCATGCTCGCAGGGGCTGCCTGCTCCGGGCAAGTCCCAGGTGTTTCCTTTTCATTTCTCACTGTACATTTTTTTTCCCTTCCTCTGTGCTTGAAAAGTCTTTCAGCAGCAATATATCTTCCAAGAGAAACCACAGAGGCCCAGGTCTGCTGCATTGAAGTTGTCAAAGGGCTGGCTTTTCTCACTCTTAGAAATGGCATCCGTGGGGTGAAAGAAACCCAGTGATGAGTGAGCCTGGAGAGGCTCAAAATTCAGCTGAGATAAGTAAGAGGGTCATGTTCCTCTCATCTAACCGTGGCTTTCCTATCTCCTCTAACACAGGCACCCTCTGGCACTGGATGAGAGAGATGCTTTGGAGGAGCTCCTGATTTCATACAGGGCTCCCCAAAAAAGCATCACTGCACAGACTGTGAGCTTGAGGAGAGTGATCCCTAACAGGGACCCACAAACCAGAGCCAAGAAAAGGCTGTGGTGGACACCAGTAGCTCCTGCCCACTGGAGCTGCCCCACTGGGAGCTGCTATTAATCAGGTTGCTTTCAGCAAGTCCCAGCACTGCTCTAAATTCCTGACTTGCCTGAGAACATGACAAATGGTGTGAACAGAAAAGCCAAAATGTAAACAAAACATCACCCCCCTTCAGCCTCCCCAAACCCAAAATTGAGTTTGAAGCCATCAAAACATTTTGTTGGAAACATTCAGCTGATTTATATGGGTTTTAATTAGGGGGGGGGGAGAAGCTTAAATTTTAAAAGAAAAAAGCTTTGCAAACTGGAATGCTATATTTTTTCATTATGAAAATGTCAAAACAAAACAATTTTTTTTGCTGCTGCAGCAGTTTTCAGTGAAAAATGTTGTGACATAATATTTTCAACCAGCTCTCACTGAGTTTCCTACTGACCCTCTGCCTTCCCTGCCAAAGCTACTGTCTCTATTCCTCTGGCAATTCTTAGAGGCAACCACTTCCTATAGCTTAATAGACTCTGGAATGTGATATGGAGCAATCAGAGGGAGACATGTTATCCTGCTATATAAAGATCTGCAGTAGGATTTCATTTTCCCAAAGCTTGTTCCTTTCCTCTAATGAACCACTGAGTTGGATAATTTAGAGTGTCAGTGAGCTCATAAATAAGCACACTGATTTAACAAGAAAACTTCTGCTATTTTTAGGCAGAAAGGGGGGAAAAAAAATAGATCAAGAAATTTGGAATTTGCTCAATTCCAACTGCGGGAAAAAACAGGTGTGCTTGAATTATTGTTACGGTCACTGCTGTGATTTAGGGAAAATATTTGCTCTAAAGAATAATACACTTGAGAAAGTAGGTATTTTATTGTCAGGAAGTAAATGAACTAATTTTGAACAAGTATTCCAGCTCCTGTTGGAGAAAGCACTGGAGCAAACAGTTACTTAAGTGCATCATTAAGGGCTGTCACCCGCCCTAAACTCAGCCTAGATCAAAGATGAGGATCTACTTTACAGTGACCCATTTGCAAGAAGCCTCTTTAGAAACATCATCCCAAACTGGATTTTTATGCAGTATAAGCAGGCACAAAACATAGAGATCATTTGATGATTCCCCACCAGCTCAGGCTCTGCTCTGAGAACCCTCACACCATGCTCCAGACTCTGCAGACGTGCCCTGACACTGCTGTGGAGCTCTGCTTAGGAACAAGATGCCAAATAAAAGAACCCCACTGAAGGATGGAGATGGAATCCTGTGCAGTTTACCTCTAACACCCATGAACTGTAAATTCCACTGAAAAAATTCTTACTGTGTTGACAGGGGAAACTCCAAGCCTGTACTATTCCTCTTTTATTGATATACAACATCATAAACCAAGATATTAGCTCAACTCCCACAGAAAAAGCCAAAAAGACTTATGCTTCAAAACCCCTGTGGCTGCATTACATAAAGAACTTTAGCTTGCTATTAATGGTCTCAGTCAAATCAAGTTTGGATGGAGACTTTGCAGGAAATTAGGAATATTAACCTTGTTCTCAGAGTTGTAATATTCGGGAGCTGGGAGGGCATAATGATGGCACACAGAGCCTGACAGGTTGTCCATCAGCTTCAGCTCTCCTTCCAGAGATTCCTGGATCAGCAGTGATATGGTATCAAACAAGTGCCTTTCCTAGGAGGGGTGGTGTGTAGCATGCAGAGAGAGAGGGAGAGAGAGAGAGCAAGCCAGAAAGAGAGAGAAGGAAAAAGGCAAGGGACGGAGACAGAGAGAAAAAAGGACAGTGTATCAAACCCAACGAACAAAAGGAAAAAACAGAACAGAAGGGGGAAAAAGGTGGAAACGTTTAGGGAACACAACAGTAACAGAAACAACAGGACAGGAGAGGTGAGGCAGGAGAGGAGAGAGAACAGTGCAGTAATATCACGGTGAGCAGAGACAGCTTTCTCAGACGTTCCTAGAGACAGGGCAGCAGCTCCTGCTCGGGGCCCTCCTTGGGGACATCTCACTCTCAGCAAACACAGCTGGTCACTCCTGGATCTGAGGGGCACAGTGGGGCTGGTAGAGCAGCATCTTAGTACTCAGTGCTGTGAACTTCTCCAGGACACTACTGCTGTAAGGCATTTACACCCACGGTTCATGTTTTTGAGCCAGAGGACCTAATACGTGACACCTAAATCCATATCCAGAGGGCACATAAATTCAAATAACCTGACTGAAGAGAAGCTGAGCATCCTGTCCATGAAAGCTGCAGCTGACCAGGATTTACACACGTCAGGTCACTAATTCATGTGCCAGACATGGGTTGAGGTGACTCAGTTGTCCTGGCCAACAACAAACCAGCTTGGCCACAGCACAGAGAATGGGAGGCTGCACAGAGCAGGGTCCGGCTTTGGCAGGCATCGTGGGAGTGATTTAAGGGTGCACCTTCCATGTAGGGAATGCCTACTACATACAATGAGATGTTGCTACAGTCAAACAGCACATGGTGCAAAAATCCCAGGGAATAGGCAAGCAAAAGAGCATGCTGACCACATGTCCTTGCAGAGTCATGTCCTGGGAATTGTATTCCTCTGCTATCGTGCTCAAGCATCAGATGTTTTCCTGAAGATTTTGGCTGGGAGAATAAATAGTCAGACTAAAATCTGCTGGAGGTTTTTGAGGCTTCTGTTTGAGTGAAAGAGCAAGAAGCACATTCTGGAGGTTGTGAATAAACCCTTTTCCAGGCCACCTTCAGAGAGGGAAGGTTTAATAGACTGCAAAGTGACAATGATTTGTCTTGCAGTTCTGCAATTTCTCTTTTTTTTGCCAGTGTCAGTACTGGTGCAGGGCAACAGGGTTGAGGACAGTTTGCCTCCACTCAACATGTACAACAACAATTAGGATGTGTTGTTTCTTCCTAGAAGACACAGTAAATCTGGATTTCCCCATATTGCCCTGAACTCCTTTTTCCTGTGCCGAAGAGCAGCTTTGGACTCCATCTCAGACATCAGAGACTCTAATGGCACCAGAAATTTCCAGTAGCTTAGGAAATGAAACAAAGCTTAAGCAGGGATTTACTCTTTTTCACCCTTGGACTAAAGATCATAAATGAGTTTTTCATGCATTAGAATACTCATTAGTCCACCCTAAGTGGAGGCCAAGATAATGCTGTTGTGAAATCATCATATAATAAAAGCTAATGAGGTCTGTGCAGAGTTTAACCCAATTTGCAATCAGCTAAGACTAAAAACAGGCTAGACCATATTTCTCATGTAATTCCAGTTCAGATCCCTCCCAAAGGACCTGTCTGGGGCTTGACCTCACCTCTCATTCCTCAAACTGAACCTTCATCCAAAAACTCTGCATTAGGGAGACTTGGTGCAGCTTGTAGCAGCTCCCACATTACAGCCCTGCTCCAACACTGCTCCTGCCCGTGGGAATTCTGCCACCAGCTCTGGTAAGCTCAGGTTTGAGTCTCATCTGGATTATTCTATTGTTAAAAGAATCCTTTTTTTACAAGCCTGAATGTGGGGATGGATTTTAAATTGAGGTTACATAAACCAAATTTAATACTTAAGCAAAGATTAGCCAAGTTTTATTCCTCTTTTATGTTGTGGTTCATGGTCTGCATTAGAAAAGCAAACACATTATGCTCATGATTTTGCTATCACAAAGGACCCAGTCAAAACTCTGGATTAGAGCAAATTTGGAGCTAGATCTGAATTTGGTGGCTTGGGCACACCTCCAGAACAAATTGCAAAGCTCTCTACCTCTGAACAGATGCGTCAAGGTGGTTTGAAGACCTGCCTGGGGTCTCTTCCCTGCAGCACAGGCTCCCACACCACATAAAGTCAGTCACAGCAGACAGAGAGGAATACAAGCGCAGGACGTAGGGTACACCCCTCCTTCATTACCAACTCGTGCATGTCTTCCCCCAGCAAATATGCAGGTCAAGCCCTCTTAACCCTCCAACCGAGATTCTCACCATATGGTAAGCTAATGAGAGCTGAGAATCCACCTTGATTTGCATGGGATTGGTACATCCTTGGGGGCTCTCGGGTCTCTCTCCACCAGCACTGCCTGTCCATGCAAAGATATCCGAGGGGCTGTGTTGGCCAGGGGTGATTGTCTTCATTTCCATCTCCAGTTCTGCCTCAAGCTCTGCCTCCTCCTTCGCCTCTTTGTTGCTCTCCTCCAAGTGCTTCATGAGCACAGCAATGACCACATTCACCAGGACAAACTGGGCCGTCAGCACGAAGGAGACGAAGTAGATGGGTGAAATGACAGTGTTGTAACAGGTGGACTCCTGGTCACAGTCACGCAGTGTGTCCTGGAAACAGTGGGGAAACCATGGAGGGATGTGAAAAAGTTCCAGCATGGACCTCAGTCTGGTCACCTGGCTGCAATGGGTTCTCCTTTCATGGAGAAAACTGAGAAGATTTGGCCAATTTCATGTTTAGAATAGCAATATCCTTGCTAATAAAACCTTAACATTTACCTTCATTATCCCGTTCCAGTTGTCTCCTGTGGATACTCTGAAGAGAGTTAGAAAGGCCATCCCAAAGTTCCTGAACGTGGCATGTCGTCCCAGCCCCTCACAGGGGTGTGTGTCATCACACTCTGTGGGACCAAGCACAGCTGTGAGACCTCCACTCACAAACTGCTCCCACCCCTTCCACCAGCACAGGAAGACTCACCAAGGTCTCCAAACAGCTCCACTCCAAGAGCTGCAAATATGAAAAACAATAACATGAAGAGAAGACCCAGATTCCCCACCTGAAAAGAGAAAAAGAAATGGGGTGGGGGGGAAACACAAAAAAAAAAGAACATTCATTGATTTTTTGTTCCAGACCTGTTTCTTGCTGTATTCTTTAATCCGAAACTTAAATTGCTTCAGGGGAAAAATGACCTCAATGTGAGGACTGTATCTCAGACTGTGCTTCGGAAGGGAAATGTGATTCTCTAATGACAGTAAAGATAAAATGATTAGCATTCCTCTGCAATAGGAAATTAGCTGTGGGCCAGAGGAGATCTGGTTTGATATGGCAGTGGGTTACCTGCGGCAGCGCTTGCATCACGGTGTCCAAGAGTGCTCTCATCCCTACAGCCATCTTCAGCAACTTCAGCACTGTGGAAAACATGTTTGCAATAACAGCAGTTAGGCACAAACTCAGTCCCTCTCCCAGGAGCCACAGATTATAGGAAGAGAAATGTGAAATCATGTCAAATGTTCTCCATTAGCTGCTACAGTCCCTGGCCTTTTTACATCGCTCCTGGTTGCTTGGATACTATCAAAATCCTGTGAATAGCAGCATCACCTATCCTGAGACTTGGAGAAATCATTATCGTTCTGCCTGGCTCTTCCTTTCCCCACTTTATCTGTGTTGGACTCATCTCCTTCTTCCTCTGGTTATCACAAGCAGTTACTTTCCCAGCCCGGGGGCTACTTTCCCACTTCCATACGTGATTCAACTGATTTACACATCTCTTCCAGAAGGTTGCATTTCCAATTGGAAATGCATGTATTTTTAATTCTGAAAGGGATCCAATGCACAGAAAAACCACTTTTTTCCCTCCCTTGAGACAGAGCACTGTTTTATTTCTCCTCCAGTTTCTTCTTTGCTTAGATGAGGACTGCAATCAGAACAATTATTGCTCAGAGCACCACAGTGCCTTTCAGGAGTGCCTGGCAGTACTTTATTAAGGGCCTGAGCACTCACATTTTGCATCTTCATCATTTGGCCCTGAGACTTCCCTGTTCTGAAAAATCAGGCCCTGAAGAAGTTGCTCCCCGACTCGGGAACGTGCCATTATACATCCGAGGGGACAGATGGGTGCAGAGTGACGAGGCATGTGTTGTCACCAAGTGGTGCAATGTAAATCCTCCTGGGAAATTAAATTTATTAGATCCTTGTCTTTTAAAGCCAACATACTCAAGCTTGTGTTCTCTAATCCCTTATAGAGATGACTTTGATTTGACTGGTGTAATTTTTCCAGGTATGTCTATGGGAGTTACAGCCACTGCTACTTCTCCTTTATTTCTAAGCTCTCAGCCTGCAAGTCCTCTCAAGACAGAAACACATGGTCAGTTGGCTCAGCTTTTTGGCTCCTCACAAGTATTTTCCCCCATTGTTCTTTTATTTGTTTACAGTCTGTTGGTGCCAGAACTATGCACATCATGATGGGGATGTGCCCCAGGACTGTTTCTCAACGTTTAACTCTCTCCTGGCAGAGACCCTGCACCTTAACCACAAGTCAATTCAGCTTTATTCCTCTCACCTCGAGCAATCCTGAGAACCCTCATGATTCGGATAATCGTGGGGTTGATTGGTAGCGAAGCGTTCACTTCGATCTCTTCCAAAGTGATGCCCATGATAGACAGCAGCACGATTGCCAGATCTAATTGGTTCCATCTGGAGACAACACAAAATGAGGTTTAACATCTACTAAGAAGCTGGCAAGGGGAGGTAGCTTGTTTCACACAAATTCCAGTCATTTCAATGGTTCGAGCACTCAAATGAATCTGCGGCATTTTTCTGAGGGTATTATACAAAAGCAGTTATGTTATGAAATCATTATAACTAATGCATCTCATTAGAAAAACAGCCAATTCCAAAGATATCCTTGACTGAGGGGAAACAGAAACAAAAGCTGGGCAGTTTTCTACCCAGAGGCTGCAGACCTCAGGGGAGACTGCGGTATCTGTACAGCCACTTTCAGACATGACACTTGTGGACCTCAGAGTGAGATCTGCCCCAGAAGGAACAGGACCCTGTGTCCAGTCTTTGCAACAAAAATCATGCTGGGTGAAGGAAAGACCCCAGGGATTTGTGCCAGGTTAGAGAGAGGTGTTATTCCAGCACGGACACACGAAATGTGGGGAGAAGGGTGGAACCATCCACTGGCTGCTGAAGGGCTCATGTCAAGTCTTACTCAGTGCCAGCAGTCTTGGAATTAACATTGAAAGAGGCAAAAAAGGGAGGAGAAAGATTCAACAAGGACATAAAAATTGTATTTTTGAGGTAAGAGAGTGAAAATCTAGATAAAGACACAATTTCACCCACTGCTCCACATCTGCAAAAAAAAAAGAGGTCCTCTTTCTCTTTCAATTCCACTCAAGGACTGATTCTCACTCTTGGAAGAAATTTTGTCACTTCACCAGGTCCTCTTGATTATATGGACATGCAACTGGTGTGAGAAGAGAACAGGCTGCTCTGTGTGAGACCCATCCCTATTTTGTCCACTCCTAAGGGCCAAAGCAGTGCAATCCCACACCTTGGCATGCACGATCCCTTTTCCAGGCTCACATCCTGAGCCTCCATCTACCCAGCTTTCAACCAGTAACACCACAAAGAATTCATACATGTCAAACTGACACCATGGGGCACAGCATGGAAGTCCAGAACATGAAATGTGGCCAGATGTTTCCAGGACCTGCTGCTGTCCCCATGGTCACACTGGAGCTTTGTTACCTGTCTTGGAAGAAGCGACGAAACCCAAAGGCAATAAGCTTGAAAACAGACTCCAGGACAAAGATAACGGTGAAGATGTAATTGCAAATCTTCAGGGCTTCGTCAAGAACCTGGGATGTGGAAACATGGCTGGGGTTAGATGTTAGTGCTGCAGAGGGGCTTCGCTGCCTGCAAACATGACTCTTCTGTCATCAGTTAATCATTTCCAAATTACACATAAAAGTCTCCAAACACGGGCTCTCTCCGATGACAAATGTCCCAGGGAAAAGTCCTGGTGCTTCAGGGACTGCACCTTCCATCTGGCTTCAACCCTTCTGATGGAATCCCAGGAGGGCTGACCCAGACCCGAGGCACAATTCTCCCCCTTGGAAGCACCACAGGCCCAGCTGGGATCACTGGGGTGAGTGGTCAGAGCTGCTGCATTTGCAGGTGTCAGCAGCACAAAACTCCTCATGCTTTCTGCAGAAAGCTGAATTTCATCCCACTTGCTCTTTTGTGCAGCTCTGGCCAAATAGCTCCTTTGTGACAGCCTGCCATCACTCCTCACCTTGAACTTCTGGCAAGGAGCAGGAGAGAGGGATGGCATGCCAGAAGGAGTGAGTGTCTCACATTTTCCTCTGCCCCCATTCCCTCACTATCTGGCCATTAATCCAGGTGCATCCTGGCTGGGACAACTCTTGCACAGTCAGGCATTAAGCCACGTCAGAGGTGATTTCATCCCCAAAAGCCTTGCCTACTGTGGTAGCAGCATCCTGCATGGCCTCTTAGTGACATGCATTGAATTTCTCACAACTGGCAAACAGGACAGTAGTAAATGTGTCCAAGGCACTGTTAGGGAACGTGGGACATGGTAACAGAATGCTCTCAGAGCAAAACCAACACTTGCTGATCCCCAAGCAAGAGAAATCATAGCAGAAGAGGTTTAAGCCATGCACTCTGCTTTCATCCTACAGTTTAGCTTCAACCATCCATGGACAAATCCACCTCACCTGCCCAAGAAGCACAAGCCCAGCTGCCCAAGGGAGATATGGCTCTGAATGAGGCACTTGGGCTCTGCAGCAAATGCGTAAATTTATCTGGCAAAAGCAGATAAATGTGCTTGAATCACCTCTACGCACACTGCATTCCTCTCTCTACGAGCAGCTGCAGCATCTCTGGCTGGGGTCTCACCCCCAGGGCATCCCAGAATATCCCACCACCAGCCCCTTTCAGCACCAAGACACTAAGCAATCATTAGTTTGGATACACAGCTCTCTGGCAGATTTAGCCTTTAAGCATCTGCAGGATCCCAGTCATCCATCACCCAGAGCAGAGAGATTTCAGGACCCCAATTCAGCAAGACTCAAGCACGTGCATGGCTCTAACTGTGCTGTCATCCCAACACAGCCCAAGCTTGGAGTTATTACCCAGACACTGCATACCAAAGGCTTAGAGACAAAATGTTATTTTCCTAAAGAAAATTAAAAACAAAAGCCTGCCCAACACTCTTGTAATTCAAGAGAAAATGTAGCTGCGAAACGGCTGCGGTAAGATGCACACCCCGGAGCGACTCCAATCCAGGCTCCTTCGCCAACAACCTTTTTCATCACTAAATGACTGAATCATGCAATGAGCCTTTCAGGGTATTTAAAGGTGACCTGAACTGAAAAAAATAAATTGGGCTTGTTTCCTTTCACTTTTGGCTTCTTTATGATAGGCTGGAGGATATTTTTCCCCCCTCGTTTCCATGTTGTAGTTGTTTACTTTTTTTTAGTATTAAGCATTCAAGTCCTGTCTAGTCTTTCCTCCTATTGTGTGTTATATTTATTCATTCTGAAAGTGGCTAATAAAAATAAGTACAAGTTATATGGCAAAGGCAGCTATTTCCATTTCATTCTTATGCACAAGAGAGCTGACATCCCAGGACAGGCTGTTTTTATTTTCACAGTGTGACAAAGACCCAGGAACTTACCACACTAATATATTAAAATGTATTTTAAAGACCAGCATGGAATCCAATGCCTCTGAAAATTGGGTCCTATGGGACACTGAGGATTTAGAAGAAAATTTTGCAAAAAGAAACATTGCACAGATTCTTCTATTTTCCCTTTTTCTCTTTTTTTTTTTTGGGGAGGCGAACCTAAGTAAAATGGAAGATATCAATGATCTAATCTAGCTAAGCAAACAAACCTCCTGTCATCCTCATTTTCAAAGCCTGAGAGGGAGAGGTGCAATGGGGTTCATGTACCAAAAGGCATGGATTGAGCTGGAAGCCAGATGTAGGATGGGTAACTCCACGGGCAAAGGGACAGGTCAGGAATGGTCAACGGGGATCAGGTTTAGCAGCAAAACTGGCTTTAACTCTACCCATCAGCACATCCCACCACAGCCCTACATGTGCCCCCACAGCCTGTTCCCCCTGGCTCTCCCAGTACCTTTGGCTGCTGGTAGTGCTCCATGGCCATGGTGATCACGTTGAGGCCAATCACGCCGGTGATGAACAAATCCAGGTAGTGGCTGGTGCACATCTGGTGGATCAGGAGGCGAAATCGGGAGTAATCCGAATAGTAAGGCTTACACTGTGCTTCTGCAGCAGGGAGGAGGAGAGCGGAGAGGCACGTCAAGTCATTTCTCTGCGTCTTTCTCAAGTCCACGCACCCTCACTTTCCAACTCCAAAGATGATAAATTCTGGACTGATTACAGCAACATGCTGCCTTTTTTATTTCCTTTTTTCTTGCTGGCATGTTACCATTTTTAATACACAGCAGGGCTCCCGTCATCTTACATCCATTAAACATCTTCAGTGGGACATGCACTATACTCAGCTTTATGGCATCAGGGATGAGGTGAGCTGGGGCTGTTGTGATGCTAAAGAATATTTTTCCCTGCAGGGAAATTTAAGTTCAATTTAAATTAAAACAACAATTGTTGTTTCTGCTGATCCTAAAAGTCCCCAAAGTATCTGAAAACCCAATTAATGGTCAGATGCTGGGGACAGATTTTACTAACAATGGCTTAAAAATACAGGCCACTGAGTTTGTGGCGCTCTTTGAAAGGGAAGGAATTCAGGCATATTATATTCTTGGCAATAAACTGTAGAGAGAACAAAATTCAACACTTTGGCTGTCAAAACCCTGGAAAATGGTCCATAAAAATACCAAGGAAAACTGATCAGGCAGCCTTAGTGATCAGAAAATAACGATCCTCCATTTAGACAAGATTATCAAAGTACAGATTTCACTGTTCAACTCACTCCTATGTTTGACTGCCTCGGGGATGACACATGCTCTTTAGACCTCGAATGTTCCTAGAGATAAACCCATTTACTCACCTAATCTCTAATGAGGAAATGCCAAGGCTGAGTATATAATTCAGTACAATTTTCAAGGAGGCATTATAATGCAGATTGAAGTGGAAAGGACTGTCTTGAATATGTCAGAGTATAATATTACTCTCATAATTAGATGATCAACTGGTTATGAAAATTATTGAGCTGTAAGAATTACAGGGCTTGATATTTAGTGCTTCTGAGCAAGTGCACAGTTTGATACATTATTCTGAGCAGAAAAGTTAAGGAGAGTAAAGCCAGGCAGCACAGGTTTGGGTTGCACTGGGGGAAAACTAATTTTAGAAGATTAAATTTTGCCTGGAAGCAGAGTCCACTTTGTCAATAGCCAATGACATTGCAATCAAACCCATAGATTTAATGGGTTCACGTGCTCCCTGCTTCATAACAGGATCCTGAAAAATCAGAGGTTTTGTTTTTGACAGACCTTTCCCTTCCAGCTCAGGGACCAGAGAGAAAAATCACTCAGCAGTTTTATTCTGTAGGGGTTTGGAAGGCCCAAATTTCGGTGTCATCAAAGGGAAGGCAGTATTAATATTCACCTTCTGATCTGCAGTGAGCTTTAGGTGATCTGCACCTGAGTGCTAAAGCACAGTATTGATGAAAAGGTCTATAAAATTAATTTTCATGCTGAGTCTATTGAGTGCTTATGAAAAAAAGCAGACTGGTAGCTGCTGACTCACTCATAAGACTTTGTGAGATATCTCAGAATCTGCATAAATCTCCATAAAGTCAAGATATCTCGATCACATTATGCTAAATTATGAGTAGCAAATTAACTAAAATGTTTGAATACAATTAGGTTAGGAATAGGACCTATTTTTATGAACCAACTTATCATCTCAGAAAGAAACACCATCGTAATTGGATCACTTACTTCTTCTACATTTACATACAATTCACAGTCAAAAAGAAAAATGTCAATGTTTCTACCTTTTCCTGCAATAGATTTACTTATGAATAATTACACTGGAATTCAATTTTTTTCCTCAGCTTTGATTGACAGGTAATTCCAAATCCTACAGAATAGCACCAATGCTGTTAGAACAGAGAGAGGATTTAGAAAGAGGTTGTAGATGTCTCCTGTGCAGGGCTCCTGCACCTGGATTAGCCAGTGCATGACCTTATAAGCAGGGTTGCTAATTGTTCAGCTATCTGCAAAGGCTTCTCCCTCTCCACACCTCCCTCTCCCCAACCTCCTTTTCACCTTTCCCAGTACATGCCCTCAGCTTTCCGCAGCCAAATGTCTCTGGATGCTGCTCTCGCAGATGCCCTTGAAACCTTCTAAAATTACCAGTAGTAAATGTTTCATCCTTCCCCGGTAACTTTGTTAAGGAGAGATTTGTCAACCCTGTTTATAAATCATGCCACCACTCGCTTCCCCAGTCTCTACATGCTGCCCATGCATCTTAGAGCCGTTCGGATGCTCCCGCGGGATGACCCACACACAGGCCAACATGCTGCCCGAGGACTAGGGTAAATCCCCACTGTGTCTAGGTGGGCAGGGAACTTTCTGAACAGAGAAACCATTTTTAACTGTTGTCAAAACACCATTTCTTTAACCCAGCCTGCACAGTTCTGCAGAGAATTTGGGTAGAGCTCTGGTATAATTACCCTGGCGCAAAGCCCCTGCCCCCTATCACACAGTGCCATTCCTAATTATTGCAAGAAAGAGCTCAACAATACCAACATCTTGGGAAATACAGACATCTGTTAAACTCCGGGTGGTGAACTTCACAACTAACACAACACCACATTACTGTACTGTTACAATACACTGTGTCAAGAACAACAAGAGCTCTGGGTTAGTCTTGGTTATTACTGGAAAGGTTAGTGTGGCTTCCCGGCACACATGGTGTTAAAGAAAGGAGGAAGAGAGCAAACCAATAAAGAAGAATTGTCAGAATGAGAAAAAAATGGGGAAAAATACAGCAAAAGCCCACTACGAGACATCAGGCTGGTAAACAGGGTGTAAATCAAGCTGCTTCACTGTGGCCGGAGGCCAGGAGAGAGGGAGAAATGGGTCAAATCTGGAGATCATTACACAGGAAAAATCAGCTCGGGCAGTGGATCCTGAGCAATCTCCTCGTATCTCAAGTAGGAAGGGGATGTTGCAGGTGACTGGGATCTGGTCTGGGTGAGTCCCACTTGCCCCTTTATCCTGGTGATGGTGGTCCAAGGGGACCAACCATGCTGGCAAGGGGAGCCATGCCTGGCAGCAGGCACAGCTCATCATTTCTACAGGCTCTCAGGTTGTTTCCCAAGCACACATTCTGTACTCAACTCTTGGCATCATCCCGGGGGATTATTATTGATCTCCTTGACAAGGACTGGAAGTCAGAGCATGGCAGCTCCAGCCTGTGTCCTGGGATACCCAAACTCATCACAGTCCATTCCTGCCCATTTGGAAAGGAAATGGCCATTGCTGTTGCAGGATAAACATTTCCTATTCCTAATCCCTAACTTCCCAGGCCAGGTGCCCTTGGGGTTCAGTGATCCCAGCCTGGGTTTGGGGCATTAAGCCCCATGCTGCTGTTTGTCTGATGGCTGTAGGATGTCACCTGCGAAACGACACCAGTGCCCAGCAGAGCAGCACCAGAGCATCCTTGTTTCTGCAGGGCAGTGCCACTGCAGCTCCCAAAGGATCCAGGGCTCGGCTGGTCTCAGCCAGTGCCACAAGAAGTGGGATTGGGACCAATTTCTTCCCATTAACTGCGTTTTCTTGGGGGGAATCAGGCTGGGCATGCAGCTCTGAAATATCTCCAAGTAGCGTCTGCCTCCGAATATAGCCCTGTCAAGAGAGAAATTGCCACTTTCCCTGAGGTGGCTTCGAGCTGGAGGTGCGTGGGCACGGGAAATTGGAATTCACGAGAGTGGGACAATTCCATTACTGTCTCCTTCAGCTTCTTCCTTCTCCTGTAATAAGGGAATTAACTACTTTGCAGGTCTGAGTATATCTGGAGGACAGCGGCAAACCAGTGAGCAATGAGCCCGTGACGCAGCTGGATTTACAAACTGTATCAAGAATATTATTAGGTTAAAAAGTAGTTTGCACTGAAGGAACTTTTTTACTTAAACACAGAGTTTGACTTGGCTTTTATTGTACTGAATGGATTTCTTTAAAATAAAAAAAAAAGCGAAATGGAAAATGATAAATTATTTCCACTGTGAAGATTCCAGTTGTGACAGAATGTAGACTTGGGGGAAAAAAAAGAAAGGAATAAATAAAGTTATAAAATATCTCACTAAGTACCAGGCAGCAGCACACACACACACACACACACACACACACACATGAAATATTCCACCTTGTCTTCACAGAAAGAGAAAAGAAGCCCTCTGGAAGTGCAGAGATGTGGGAAAGCTTTGGGTCACAACTCCAGATTCCTCACCGAACCACGGGAGGTTCAGCTACGGCACCTGGGACTGATTCCCTAAATTCCCAACAGTCAGGTTCAGAAATAAAACCTTTCTATTGCCTCATTCTGGTGCCTGAAGAGTGACATGGCACATTCACTACCAGTGGATCCAAAGAAAAGACAACAAAAGGAAACACAAAGCACAGACCTGACAATTGTACACGTTTTAAAGGCAAACTCTAAGAGTCTTTCTGAGCCTGCATGGGATAACAGAGGGGTTTGGAATGAGTTCAGTGCCTTAAAAATAACATAAAATAAGACAGCCTTGATACAACTCTGTAGGACCAGGAGAGGAGTCACAATCAAATAAAAAGAAGAAAAAATAACCAGAGCCCCAAACCCAGTGAGAGCCACCCCCCTCCTCACTCTGCCCCCATTTCATGGGAGAGGCTCATCAAGGGCAGCAAGAAAGATGGCAAAGAAATATATCAGGAATGGCAATGGGAAGGAGATTCAGGATTTATTAAAGCATGTTGTGATAACTTCTAACAAGGCCTTAGAAATATAAGGTAGAACCTCTGCCTCCTTGAGTTATCTCTGCAGTGAAAGCCATCAGCCCTCACCTTGCAATTTTTATTTAATCAAAACTCCCTGCAATCTAAGATGAGATGGATGGAGCCCTGCTCCCATCTAAAGCAGTGGGAGCTCGTGCACAGGTGAGAGTTTTAATGGCACAATTTTCCTAGCATATTATTTTTGTCGAAAATTACAGCTATATTTGTTTCTATGTTGGTGCCTCTTTAATTATTCAAGCTAATATTTTTAAGTTAGGAATTAAACAAAATTCTTGCCAGATCAAAGCTTCTCCTAAAAATAAAAAGAGCACGGGACAGATTTGCAGCCCTGAGCATCGTCCTGGGAAGAAGAGCTGGGAGACATGAGCGAGTGATGAGTTATGGGGTACCAGGCCCAGCTGGTCCATCCACACCAGGATCTGGAAAGGCTTTGAGGTGGCATCATTATTTCCTTTCATTTCCAAGATGCCTCATGGACTGAGTGACTCTCAATCAATAAGAAGAATTTTCAATCTGGCAGCACAATGACTAAACCCCATGTGCACACAGAGGGTTGGTGTGGGGTTGAGCTTCCTATTAAAGCACTGAGGCTCTGCACTATATTGACTTTTACCCTGCTGGAAAAAAAAATCCTGTGCCTCTCTGAAGCACAGCGTTTGTGGAGCAATGAGCACGGGCTTGGAGAAATAATGAAATATCCTCCCTCAGTGCAACTGCCTGACTTCCAGAGACATGCCTGCAAATTATTCAGACTCCTAAATTGGTGGTTGGAAAGCTAAAGTCAACAATAAAGGACCCATTTCACAGTCCAGTCATTATTCTCTTAGAAAAAAAAACCTAAAAGAACAAAAAATTTAAAAGGAGAAAAAAAAAAAAGTGTCATGAAAAGTCTGAAAGTGTCTTAATGAAAACCAGGAAAAAAAAAAAAAAGAAAACTGAGTAACATAATATGATTGAGGAGTAAATTAAGGGTTTGCAAGTGTCAGTCCTGAGCCAGGTCTGCAGACCTGAAGCTTCAGAATGAGATGCGTGTGCCATGAAGGAAGCAAACGAGCTTTGCACCACACACACACGGTTTAGTGGAGGCCTCACACGCGGTGGCCAGGCGTTAGTGACACAGCACTGCCATTCAAAGTGGGACGAGACGTGCCGACTTCCCAGTACCTTGCACTGCACTGGCTGAGCTCTCCATTAATACATCATCCAGCATTAGATCTAAAAGAACGAAACGGCATTAATCACCCGGCAGGACACACGGCAACACTTCCCATCCCCTTCTGAGGTCCCTATGGCTCTCAGGCCCTCCGTTGCCTCTACCAGGAGTGTTTCCTTGTGGCATCTTCTCCTTGTGTCTCATGGAAGGTGGGCTCAGGTACACGTGCAAAAAAGAAGTGCTCTTGTGCTTCTCCCACATGCAGAGGTGTGAGCTCAAGAGATCCCCGAGAACTCCCTCACTTGCTGCTGAAGAGGGTGAAGACACTTCTGAAGGATGACCTAGTACATATCCTGCTGGGACAACACAACTTGCAGCGCCCACTCCTGCACCTGCCTACACCTCACAAGTTGGGATCTCACATGTTTTGCTGGTTTTCAGATATCTGATGGGCTAAATGCATCG